CCCGCATCCCCCTTCTGTTCTGAAATGTGATTTGTCCTTTTCATGTGTGTTCATTTTTTTAAATTGTATCCTTTGGTATATATGGTTGTGACTATTTTCTTCCACTATTTGATCTGAGGAAGTGGGTCTGGCCCACGAAAGCTCATCATCTAATAAAGCATCTTGTTAGTCTTTAAAGTGCTACATAGTCCTGCATTTTGCATGAGCATTTTCAGTGTGAAATATCTTACCAAGAAAAATAAATCTATGTAAAACCTGAAATTCTACTAAAATTAGTACGTTAAACAAATGAGCACAAAACCACAGAATTTAAGAGTATAAAACAGGAAGTAAAAAACTAATAATCAGCTGGTGAAAGCACTGTTGTTGAGAAGTTAAAGAAAAGTAGAGAAGTCAGGTCTGATAGGCAAAAACAAGAGCTGCTGAAATTGAGCTGAGTGACATTAGGCAAAGATGCTCTGAGCCACAAGTCTGAAGGGGAAGTGGATTTCAAGCCAAGAGAATTAAGGTTTGAGGTGCGTGCGGGCTAAACCAGCATTTCTCAACCAGAGATATTTGAGAGAAGTCTGGGGGTACGTCAACAACTGAAATGTGAAGAAACCTGATATTTTTATTTTTATTTTTACAGTACTTCATTATTTTTGTCCTTTTTACACCCAAAAATTTCATCGCCGACCTGGCTACGATTAAGTTGTTTAAACAAATGTGTTGCAATGGTAGAAAAAAAACCTCTGTGTGTCTGAAAACTGTAGGTACTGGGGGTACTTATACTTTTTTTTGTTTTGAAAGGGGGTACTTTATTTAAAAAAAGTTGAAACACTGGGCTAGAGAAACAGAACTAAGTTGTCAACTAGAGTAAAAGGATGAGCAAAACATCATGGTCTGATGTGGCTGTTGGAGATGAATTCGAGGAATCTGTGCATGCATTCCTGACTGCCCGCAGTTCTAGGACATTTACGTACAAGTTCTTTTCGATGCTGGACCACAGGCCCTGGTAGGTATGTCATCGTAGACTGGGCGCCCCATTCTGTACAAAATGCATCTGTCGTCATGGAGACGGATGGTTCTGGTGCGTGGAAAGGGACTCCGGAGCCAAGGTTCCATGGGCTTAGCCAGCAACGTAAGGATTCCTTTGCTATCCCTGGAAGGGCTAGTGATTTGGATAGCAGATGGACATTGAGTTTGTACACCTGTCCCAGCCAGCTCTGTAAACAATCTCATGTACAGACGCGCATTGCTGACTACGAAGTTGCACACTGCCATGTGCCCCAATAGCCGAAGACATTCGAGTGCTGTTGCGCAGGGGCTGGATCCTAAGGTATTTACCAAGACCACAATTTTTTAGAAATGGTCTGTAGGCAGGGATGCGGTGGCTGTTGTCAAATCAAGGCATGCTCCCATTAACTGTATGTTTTCTGTAGGACAGAGCATGGATTTGATTTAGTTCACGTGAAGGCCCAGGTGTTGGAATAGGTGTCTTGTGACCAACAGAGAATGGCAGGAATTGTTGTGGGAGCACAACTTGAGGAGGCAGTCGTCTAGATAAGGAAATTTAAGTCTTTTGTCTCCCTCAGGTACGCTGTGACAACCGCCAGTGACTTTGAGAAGACCCTTGGGGCCACAGACAGTCCAAATGGAAGCACTTTGTATTGGTAGTGTTGAAAATCTACAATGAAATGAAGAAAATGCCTGTGAGTAGGGTGGATGGCAATGTGGAAGTATGCATCTTGCAAGCTGAGGGACAAGAACCGATCATCCTGTTTCAATGCCAGTAGTATGGTAGCAAGCGTTGCCATCTTGAATTTTGTTTCTCAACTAATTTATTCAGGGCTCAAAGGTCTAGAGTGGGCCTCCAGCCCCCCAACCTTTTTTCAGTCAAGAAGTAATGGGAGTAGAACCCCTTGCCCCTAAACTGTGTGGGGACTGGTTCAACTGCCCCTATGTGTAAGAGGTGCTCTACTTCTTGATGAAGAAGGATCTCAAGAGAGTGGTCCCTGAAACGGGATAGGGAAGGGAGGTAGAGAGAGGGAATGGACACAAAGGGAATAAAGTAGCCTTTCATCTATCTGCAGGAGCCCTCTATCAGAAGTTATACATTGCCAGTTGTTGAAGGGCAACAATAGATGATAGAAGAGATTTGCTTGCATTGAAATAGGTGAGAGGCTCTCCAGACACTTGACCTGATGATCAGATTTGCTTGTTGGACTGCTTCAACTGTTGGGAATTGGTAAAGAAAGAGTGCTGTCGTTGGTTTCTGCCTCTGCCTTTGTTCTGTTACTACTGTAGTGCTGTGCGTATGGGGGGGTAGTGAGGTCTCAGGTAGGGCTGATACCTATATTGTCTTCTTCTAGGTACTTGGCTGTGGATCCCCAAAGACCAAAGCATCACTCTGGAATCTTTTATGGAGTGGAGCATTTCATTGGTGTTAGCTTCAAAGAACTTCTGTCCATCGAAAGGCAGATCTACCGTAGATTAAATCTCCCTGGGGAACGGAGTGGAGCTAAACCACAATGCCCTCCTCATTACTACCGCTATTGCTGTAGAACATGCAGCCATGTCAGCAGCATCTAAAGTGGCCTGTAATGCTGTTCTTGCAATCGTGTGACCCTTGGATATCAGTGCTTTGTAGTGTTGCCTCAAGGATGTGTGCAACAAAGTCGTTCAATTTTGTGTAATTTCTGTTATCATATTTGCTCAATAAAGCTGCGTAATTCAAAATGCGAAATTGTAAAGTAGAAGATGTATATATCTCGCGCCAGAATGCATCAAGCCTTTTCTATCGTGGTCCAGTGGGGTAGACCAGCATTGTTGCTGCTTGGATTTTAGTTGTACAGCTTCCACCACGAGGGAATTTGGTTCTGGGTGAGAAAAGGAAATTCAGAACTCTTGGGTGGGACATAATATTTCTTATCCGTTCCCTTAGCCATCAAAGAGATTGACGCCAGAGATTGCCACACCATCTTTGCAGATTCCATTATTGCTGGATTAATTGGCAATGGTATTTTTGATGGTGTTACTGAGTGCAGTACAGGACGCCCCGGTTTACAACCCCCATCACTTACAACCTTTTCCTGCCGTAAATGCAGGCTCGAGTTACGACACCCTCAACTTGTGACACTATCCCTGGAGCCAATTACATCGCAAGTCTGGGGCAGCCTGTATGTCTGTTAGCTCGTGCTGATTTTCCACAGCCTCATGAAGGGGAATTTTTAATTCAGCAGCTACACGTTTAAAAAGGTCTTGGAAATGTGCAGCGTCGTCTGAAGTTGTTGTAGCTGCGGCCAGAGACCCTCCCTCCAGTGGAGGGAGGTTATTTGGGTCAGGAGGGGTATTGTCTCCTGTGTGAGTGGGTACCCTTTCAGTATTTGTTTGAAGGAGGAATATTGCACTCGGTGTCGTTTCTGGCCATACTGGTATTTATGATAATACTTCCATTTGTACCAGTACTGGCAGTAAGCATAAGGCTTGACAAATAGCACTTTTTTTTTTTTAAAATAGGCAACCCTAGGGGTTCTGTGGCCAAATAAAAGTGGGAAACACTGCCCTAGAGAAGTAGTCCTCAGATTCAGATGAATTTTTTTCCTGAGAGTGATATCTCTGTGATGTGAGCGCTCAGCTTTTAAAAATGGAGAGTTAAAAGTGGATGAGACTAATGAGCGTAATGTCCAACAGGTCCTGTGGGTGCCAGAGTGGGAGGCAGAGAGACTGAGGCACCGAATAATGCCGAGGGCAGTTGTGCCACATCAGGAGCCTCTGTGGCAGCAGCTGAGGCGCCTGTTAACATGATCGGCGCTGTGCTTTCATGCTGCATTGGCGAGACTATATCATTGCCGGATGGTGCTGCAGCTAATGTGGCAGGCAACTGTGGCAAGTCACCTATAGTGCTTGACTGCTATTCGTCTCCGTTGGGGTCTCCAAAGATGCCAGTGACACCATACATGCTGAGGCACAGTGCCGGCACTGCTCTTGGCACAAGCCATGAGGGAAACGGCCGCTTCGGTACCGTAGCCCCTTGAGGTGCTGAGAAGGCTCGCTTTTTTGGCAGGCTTTCTGGATCCCTACCGCTTAAGTTCCTCTGGCTGCTGGCCCAGATCAGAGGCTGGTCTAAGCGAGTTAACTTGAGCAGGAGGACTCTGTCATTCTTTGCTCACAATTTTAGCATTGCACAATGAGGGCATTTCTAAGTGCTATGCTGCTCTCCAAGGCAGCAGATGCACTGTGAGTGACCATCCGATATTGAGATAGGCTCCTTACATGAGGTGCAGTGCTCAGGGCTTGCCAGCTGCGCTGTCCAGCGATCTGCACATGCGCAGATCGCCCAAATCCAGCTCTTCCAGGTTGTAATCTACTTGCCACAAGCAGTCAGAGTCTGCAGGAAAGGATTAAGGGGAAGAAAAAGAAAAAAACCCTTATACTAATTTAGTTTTTTTTTAAACTAACAAAGTAATTATCTAAGTAAATTATTTAAACTCACTAACTAACTACTATAATAAATTTAACTCGTTTTAAGAAGTATAATCATCTAGACACGAAAAAGTTAGGAGTACTGCTGAGTCCGTCTATAGCCAGAGGTGGTAAAGAAGAAACTAAGGAGTGGGGTTTGGGGGGGGGGGGGGGCAGAGGCCAGCCTAAAAGCACGCGGCTGCTCGTGCACATGTGCGCTGCCCCAGAAACACTGCTACAAAATCTCTGCTCTGAGGCTCAGTGGCAGTGCACGGACCTAATATGGAGCACCTGCGGGGATATCGCTTGAAGAAGAAATAAGAGTTTCTACCTGTAAAATTTTGATTTCCTCTAGTATATATCCACAGTTGATGAGTATGTCGGTCTAACCTAGGAAAATGATGCTAGAGCAGAATCAAAGCTTTCTAGCCAGCAAGTCTCAACTTGACTATCCCCTTCCCAGACTAATACTTTAAAAAGAAAGACCACCACAATTAGTTCAGTTGTGAAGGAACAAAAGGAACATTATTCATGCCAATTATGGATGCATTTTAGTCTTGTTTTAAGTTTTTACTTGTTCTGACTTGAATGAGGAAAATACCATGCAAAACCAAACCTATTTAAAATATCCAATGACCACAAGAAGACTCTTGTCTAAAGCAACTAAGACACACTGGGAAAACCAAAATTATAGATAAGAAAACAAAGTTTGCCTGTTTTGTTAAAATGGAACCACGCTTTTGGACAGAAGTCAAAATGTAGGAGATGTGACAAACAGTAGCCTTCATTCACCAAACACATACTTAGAATAATAAAATAACAAAAAAGCAGAAAAACAGTCAAAACAAAGCAAGCAAGGTGTAGCACAGGAGAAAGCATGTATAAAATTGAACATTAGTATTTTATGCAGAATAAGCCCCCAAAACTGAAAAAGGTGCAGACTGTTATTTTCTTGCAGACAAATCAGCAACCGTTTAATTCATCTTGATGTGGACGTGAAGGATACAGTAGCCTTCCTGTAATTAAAATAGTTTAGATAATAAGTAATAATGAGACCACTTCAAAACAATGAGAGTTTATTTTTAAGTAGCCAAACATCTGAGGACTAGGCCATACAAATGGCAATACGAACTGACTGCTATAAGTGGGGCTTACTATTAGTAATTAAGCACAATCTAGGCCTGGTACTAAAGAGTTGAAAATAATAGCATACATTTTAAAGAATTCCTGCTCACTTACACTTCCCACTAAAGGTCATGAGATAGCAGACCTAGCAGATCAAAACTACACACCACAGTTGCCTGTCTGCAAATACTTTTAATGAGAGCTAGGGATGTTAAATTGCATTTAATCAGCTAATCAAGTAGTCAATGCAATTTCCATCGACTACTCGGTTAGCTGATAAGGAGAGAACTGCTGAGCCACAGCACGGTTAGCTCCTGGACCCAGGAGCTAAACCTACTGCAGTCTGACTTTTAAATGAAGTACGAGCCACCCAGCTCTTATTCCATTTAAAAAGGCAGAGGCATAGCATCTGGGACTGAGCTGGGAATCAGCTGATTCCTAGCTCACACCACTGCTGCCTCTCCCGCCCACCCGCGGATGTAGTGCTGAGGGAAAACCAGCTTTTAAGACGGCTTCCCCCCTTGTTGCCTCTGAAAGAGGGAACAAAGGGCAGGGGAGCAACTAGTCCAATTGTGACTCGACTATCACAATGAGAGCTTCTTGGGCCATATTAGAATACCTTGGATCTCAGTCAGTTGATATTCAATCACACACACGAACAAGTGAAAATACGATGCATCCAAATCTCCATCTTTTGAAGACAGTGTGCAGACATACAGTGCTAAGACTTAAACCCATGCGAGTTCCTTCTCAGATTGTGCGGAAAAAACCCACACAGAACTTTAGGATAACATACATGAGGAAAGAAAGAGGAACACTACTTTAGCCAGAGTCTTTAATGAAAGCAGAATCTATAATCTATCTAAGTAGGCCCAGAAGTGTGAATACTTCCTACAGTTCCAGGTAGGCAACATCAGGGATTGGAGGGCCTGGGAACACCAGACTCTTTTTCCTTTAGAATTTTTTTAACTAGTGTACTCATTTTCAAAAATTCCCTCATTTTCCATATGATCATTCTCATAAGAATGTTTAACTTAGTTCTATTGTGTTCATTAAGACACCATGACCAAAGGACAACCTGGCAGAGGGCACAGGAGATTCACAGGGTTTCATGAGAATCCCCTCGGTCAGATACTTACATAATTGGTCACCAAAGGGTGGCATGTGAGGTCTCTCCCAAGAGCCAATGCCCACTGGTTTCAATGAAAAAGTGTATGTACAGATAATATGTAAGGAATTGTGTATCTATGCTAAAAACAGTGTTTGAGTCTGGCAGTTAAGGCAGGACACCAGTATGTAAAATACCTCAGATATATATTCCTTTAAGGCAGGAGGTAACAGATGCTTAACGTGCACAGAGTAGCTGGCAGACACTTCAATCATCACTGCAGTGGCGGGGGGGAGGAGGGAGCTGGACAGACACGTGTGCAAGCAAGACACACCTTGTTCCTTCTTAGGGCTAGTCTACCCTGGTGCATTTTATTGCCAAACACTGCCTTTTTGGAGACAAAACAGTGAGAGCATTTACAGTGAAATGCAACTTTTGTTAGGGAAAAACACCCAGTTTGGGCAACAAAAAACTTCCAACCCCATGAGAGACTTTTGTCTTTTCCCCTCCTTTTATTGTGGGCTCTGTTTGTTTTGTCGACACAGCTGGCTTCTGCCAGTATCCCACAATGCCTGCTCTAAGGGCTCTGCTCAGTGTTTTGTGACCTCTGCTGACCTCCAGGAATGCACCCATCCCCTTTCAAAGCTCCGGGAAGTATGACAGCTTCTCCGTTTCGGGAACAAACAAAGAACAAATCACTGGAATGCTCCTGTTCTGCCCTGCTAGGAACATAGCAGCAGGCAGACTGCTGCTGCAGGAAGCGGGCTAGAGCAATTTCTGTGCTGCTTTGACATTCCTCAGCACAGAGGTCACAGAACTTCCAGGGAATCCCAAGATACAAAGGGATCAGCTCTGCCTTCCCATGACATTGCACTGTGGGATGCTTATCCACATTGATCTGCTCAATCTGTTGACAGGGGAGCTAGTAAATGTGGCCATGAAATGTCAAATACGGGAGGCATAAAAACTCATTTGACTGGTTTTCACTTTTGGATGTTGACAGCACGTTACTTGCCAAACCTTCCCTGAGTAGGTACGGTCTTGCTTACTACTGCAGCCTGCCTGACATGGAGGGGCAGAACTTCTGGGTGTTTTTGAGAAGGTAGGTGTGGAGCAGGCACTGTCCCCTGAGGCAGAGCAGAATATAGTGGCCTGCCTGCTAACTGAATTGTTCCCGTTGTTCTTAGTGAATTCCCCATGAGTATAAAACAGGTGTAGAGATTTTAAGACTCATTTACATTGCTAGAGTGGTGTCAAGGACAGTGTAGCCTTATAAATGCTTATGTGATTAGAAATGGTCTAAATTTGTATGTTAAAAAAATCAAAATGCACTTCATAAATTATTTGCTATAATCTTTCTAAAGATGGTCAGTAACAAAAATAAATTGTGAGTTTGATTCCCCAGCCCCCACTTGCTCGTTATTGGCCTATATTGCAACACTGAGCATTTGGCTGCATGCATTTTTTGACTAATAACTGAAATAAAGGTCAAACCAAGCTATATTACTATTACACTGGGTTTAGGGATTTCCTCCAATGCTCCCCACACCTACTCTCTATCCACTGTGCTGTAGTTTAGTTTAAATAAATCACTAAAATAAATGAAGCCAACATGATATTGTGTTATTTTGACTAATAAACTACGCCGAATGTTGCGGAATTTGTGTGCAGAATTCCTCACGCAGTAATTGAGTGTTGTAAGCCTCACAACATATTGCTATTTGTATTTTGAGATGGATACCAGTCATAAGATTACAAAATCTACAGGAAAAAAAACAGTAAGCAGCGGTAGGTCTT